CACTCTCTCACACACTCACACTCACTCTCACTCACACACACACACACACACACACACACACACACACACACACACACACACACACACACACCTGCCATTCAGTCGTTGGCGCGCTCACAGAATATTCCCGCTCTTTCAGTTTCCATGGCGATGCGTTTGCCATTGGCGCCACCTGGAGGAACAGCGCGGGAACTTCCGCTCAACCGCCTTCTGTTATTCCTCATGTGTGCAGCAGGTGTCTCTCTGTGAGGAGAAACGAGGAAATGCAGCATCTTTAGTTCACAGATGAGGAAAAGAAATTCACTTACCACACGAAGAGCAGAAAACGAGCCAAATCGGATGAAAACAACGCGGTACTTTATTTCAAACCATCGAAGATGTAACCATTCACGCATTTTCAAGGTACGATGCTAAGATCTGTCCAAATGTGCATACTATCCACCCTATCTAAATAGCATTGAAAATTACTATCATCACATAGAATTTAGGATGGATAGTACGCATATTTGGACGCAGGCTGTGTCTAAAAAGTATTATCATGGTCGTATAATCTGAAGAAGAAGTTGTGGCCTGTGTAACGTAGGTTGGTGTGTTTGTGTTCGCGGCAGTAATGGATCATCCGAACCGAGTCATCCGCTGAACCGAGTCATCCGCTGAACCGAGTCATCCGCTGAACCGAGTCATCATCCGACTGAAGGCGGATTACAGCGCGAGCCTGAAGCGGCGTAATCATGGATGTGTTCGGCTCTCTCAATCTAAACGAGCTCGCTCTGGGGCTGTCAAACCTCTCCATGTTCCCCTGCTTCGACACGGCGCATTATATCATATCAGTGATGAGTCTGAGAGAGCAGCCAGGTAAGAGAAATCAAACCGAATCACCTCTAATGCGCTTTAGCTGGAATTCACCTGAACGCGATTCAGTGTCGGAGTCAAATCCGAATGAATCTCTATCCGGTGCATCGCATTTCTGACTCACTTCTGCAGTCAAATGCACAGTATCTTAATCATAGTTGTATGTGTGCTTTGACAGGTTTCAAACACTTTTGACATGAACGTCTTTGTCCTCACATCACGAGAAACGTGCGCTTTCTGCTTGTATTTAATCAGCAAATTTGTGGTAATCACCCGAGACCTGATATTTAATATGTTTTATGAATATTTGTCATGCATTTGATCGTGTTTATATGTATACCAGGCAGGTAAAGCAGTGCTATATAAATTGCAGTAGGTGCACAATGAGGCTTCTGTTCTCGTTAGAACGCATTTATGTTTATTTGATGCATCTAGAGCAGGCCTGTGTGTGTTTACTTGAGTGTGAAAGCAGAAGTTGCATGATCAAAGGCCAAAGGGAAGAGAAGTGCATTTAATCATTAACTCTCGGTCAGTATTCTATCTCTGTTTTTCTCATAGAAGCATGCAAATGTGTGGTTAAACGTGCATTTGCGCTGCAGGCACAAATCCTGTTTGTCGGGTCGTTTTGCATTAACCAAACATGCATTAACACATATGCATTTGCATTAACCAAACATGCATTAACACACATGCATTTGCATTAACCAAACATGCATTAACGCACATGCATTTGCATTAAACAAACATGCATTAACACACATGCATTTGCATTAACCAAACATGCATTAACACACATGCATTTGCATTAAACAAACATGCATTAACGCACATGCATTTGCATTAACCAAACATGCATTAACAACATTAACCAAAGTGTGGTTCGCCAGTGCTGAGATCAGCCTTTGCTCTTGTGTTGAGCAGTAATGCATGCATGTGCTCTATTGTATTGGCTGCAGCAGCTGCAGTAAATCGCAGGCTATTTTAGAGCCTCTGACCTGCGTGGCATCCCGCTCTCTTCTATTGTCCAGCACTTTACTGGAATATCTGGCGGGGGAATGAGACTCAACACGTCCTGATGTTTAGATCCAGCGGGAAGAGAGTCTCAAGAATGTTTTAGGTTGAACGTGTTTGTTTAACCTGCAGCATATTGACTCCTACACTATCCAGACGGACATCCAGTGCAACTAATTAACCTGCAGTTACTGTTAATGGTCTGTTTTCCAGGAAGAAAGACTGAAAGTGGTGTTTATTTTGTCAGTGTTTAGAAGTCCTCTAGCATATAGATGTAAGACACTACAGGCAAAAACTTTTTGTTTTCTTTTTTTTGTGCATTGATCAATTTTGTATGGAAGCCCGTTTCCGCCACTGAATAAAAAAAGGTTATTGCAACTTTTTTGTGACTTTTTTTTCACAAAATTGTGAGATTAAAAACTTGAGACTGATATGTTCTCAGAATTGCGAGTTTATGAAAAAAGTATTCTGAGGAAAAAGTCAGAATTGTGAGATTAAAAAGTCGCAATTACCTTTTTTGTTTTTTATTCGGTGGCGGAAACGGGCTTCCATACTTTTGAGATTTTTGGCTCTCCATAATGTATTTGTTTTTTTCAGACTAAACATCCAAAAGACACATTTAAGTGTCGAAAATGCATATGTTTAAAGCCTGTGAGTTTTTTTCTCCACTTCAGCAGCACTTGCAAATAACAAAACTTACAGTTTCATTCCTATCTATCTTCTGAAGGTTTTTACAGAGGGGTTTGTTCATACATCATTCGCTTGATTTTTGTTTTTGCAACACTTTATTCCTAAAACATGATGAAAAAGTTGTGATATTTCTGATTTGCGAAGTGATAAAAAGAGAAACCTCAAATCCCTTTTGTAAAAACATTTTTGAACCTGGATTTATTCAATGTTTAGATTTCTGTTCTGAATATTTATGCAAATTAGTGCATATTTAATTAGATATTATTTATGCATAACATAATGGAAAACTGGTGAAATCTATTAGTTAACGGGATAGTTCACTCAAAAATGAACATTTTGTCATTAATTGCTCACCCTCATGTTGTTCCAAACCCGTATTTTTGATGGAATCCGAGAGCTCTCTTGACCCTCCCATAGACAGCAAGGTAACTACCACGATCAAGGCCCAGAAACATAGCAAGGACATCAGTAAAATAATCCATGTGACGTCAGGGGTTCAACCGTAATTTTACGAAGCTACGAGAATACTTTTTGAGTGCAAAAGAAAAAAATAAAACGACTTTATTCAACAATTCGTCTCTTCTGCGTCACCCTGTTACAGCCATTTTGGAGAATATCCACTGGATGTAAATTGCGTATGCTGTTAATGTGTCACACGGATACGTTGTTTACGTCGCTTTGATTTGAACAAATACATACACAATTTACGTCCAGTGGATATTCTCCAAAATGGCTGTAACAGGGTGACGCGGAGGAGACGAATTGTTGAATAAAGTCGTTTTATTTTTTTCTTTTGCACTCAAAAAGTATTCTCGTAGCTTCATAAAATTACGGTTGAACCCCTGACGTCACATGGATTATTTTACTGATGTCCTTGCTATGTTTCTGGGCCTTGATCGTGGTAGTTACCTTGCTGTCTATGGGAGGGTCAAGAGAGCTCTCGGATTCCATCAAAAATATCTTAACTTGTGTTCCGTAGATGAACGAAGCTCTTACGGGTTTGGAACGACACGAGTGTGAGTAATTAATGGCAGAATGTTCATTTTTGGGTGAACTATCCCTTTAAATATTTTTCCCTATTCATCTGCAATATCATGTCTTAAAGATAACAGACATGAGCTAAAACCACAAAACTCAGGATTTATTTCAGTATTTTTAAACCCATCCAGAAGGACCCCTCACATCTTTTGTTGTGTGTAAACCCGCATGAGTGTTTAATTCCGTGAAGAATGTGTTTAGCGTTTTTCTTCCTAATAAAGACCGAGAGTGTTCTGGAAAAGTTATTTCCTGTTTCTGTCTGTTCTCCGCTCTGGGAGTTCCCCCGAGTGCCGCGTGTCACTTCCTGTCTTCAGACTCATGCATGTTTAATTGAAACATGTTCTGTTCTGGTCTTGAGCGCTTCTTCTCTCATGCACACACAAACCAGAATGACTCTTCTGTTTTCTTTACAAAAAATGTTCTGTGGCAGAGCTATGGTGAAGAAATGACCAAAACCATGGGAACACTTTACAATAAGGTTCATTAGTTAACATGAACTAAGCATGAACAATACATCTACAGCATTTATTAATCTTAGTTAATTTCAGCATTTACTAATGCATTATTAAAATCACAAGTTGTGCTCGTTAACATTAGTTAACGCACTGTGAACTAACATAAACAAGCAATGCACGACTGTATTTTTATTAACTAACATTAATTGTTCATTGTTCGTTCATGTTAATTAATACATTAACTAATGTTAAAGACCAAAAAAAGGACTTGGAAATAAAGCAAAGAAAAAAAGATTGCAATTACATTTCTCATGTTTGTTTTTGTTTTAGTCTCTGACAGCTACAATAACATTTTTTCTGTTTTTACATGATACTTTTAGTTTTGTCTTCACTCTTTGGTGAATTTCATGCAAACCAATGTGGGTCAGTTTGACTCACAACACAGAAGTTGTACTCCATTTCTGAACACGAGGTTAAGAAAAACACCCAGACTGTTGAATCAGTGCTAGTTGACTGTATGTGTTCAGCTCTACACGAGTGAGCTCTGGAGTAATGCACTGCTTGTGATGATCTTGCAGGCGTCTGCAGGTAGACAGGTACGTTTCTACAGCATGACTTTAACACACATCTCATCTCGTGCTGTTCTGCTTCTGTGAGTGTGGTTTATCTGTAGATAAATGTCCACTGGAGCCTTGCAACACACTGAGAGCATGACGTGTGTGTGAGAGTGTGAGAGTGCGTGTCAGCGAGTGTGAGTGAGTGTGTGAGTGAGTGTGCGTGTCAGCAAGTGTGTGTGAGCGTGTGTGAGTGAGTGTGCGTGTCAGCAAGTGTGTGTGAGCGTGTGTGAGTGAGTGTGCGTGTCAGCAAGTGTGTGTGAGCGTGTGTGAGTGAGTGTGCGTGTCAGCAAGTGTGTGTGAGCGTGTGTGAGTGAGTGTGCGTGTCAGCAAGTGTGTGTGAGCGTGTGTGAGTGCGTGCATGTGTGTGAGTGAGTGTGAGCGTGTGTGTGAGTGCGTGTGTGTGTGTGAGTGAGTGTGCGTGAGTGTGAGTGAGTGTGCGTGTCAGCAAGTGCGTGTGAGTGTGCGTGAGTGTGAGTGAGTGTGCGTGTCAGCAAGTGAGTGTGAGCGTGTGTGTGAGCGTGTGTGAGTGCGTGTGTGAGTGAGTGTGCGTGTCAGCAAGTGAGTGAGCGTGTGTGTGTGTGTGTGTTGATGCATTGACTCTGCTTCGGTTTCGATGTCATCCATTCGCTGCTTTAGTGGCTGCATCATGTGATCAGAATGAATGCGACTGTCCTGTGAGCTCGTGTTGATCAAGCGGTTGCATCACATGACCTGATTAAATCCATGAAGGCCGTGGCGTTTATCTGTGTTCAGAGGCGTGTTTGAGTGTTTAACAGGTCAGTTATCACTGCAGATATCAGGCCTTCTCCATCTCAAGCAGTCGACTTTTAAACTGTCTCTTGAGCTCTTGTCAGTTTTGTGATTGTTATATGATAATTAAACTAATTATTTTCCAGCTCGAATCTGCTAAATTAGACTAAAAGGCATGGAGATATTAAGATATTGAAAACATTATTTCATGTAATCTGCTTTGAAACCATGACATTTATAAATTAAGATTTATGCATCATCTGAAAGCTGAATAAAGCTCACCCTGATCGACATGAGTGATACATATTTGAATATTCATGAGTTTTAGAATTGAAATATTTGTATCTGAGCTCAAAACAGTAACACAGCGCTGCACGATTAATTGAAATAAAACTTGAATCAGAAAATCCCTTTCTGTCAAAATAAAAGTTTGATGGTTTAACATTTAAAAAAAAAGATATTAAGGCAGCCATAAATACTGTATTAGGATTGCAATTTTACAGTTATAAGGTATTTATTTTACAGTTAAAATATTATAATTGAAATATAATTTTTATCATTGTTTTTTATTTTTATGAAGTTATTATTATTATTATTACTGTTTTATTGATATATTGATATGCAATAACACAATTTTGGCCAAATTGTACAGCCCTCCAAAAACAAGGAATTTTTAAAAACACATTTTAAATCACAATCACAATTTAAAAACTGCAATTAGATCCCCCCCCCCAAATCATTGAGCTCTAGATCATCCTCATTCATAGTCACGTGTTCTGGCTGATTGTCTCATGCTAATCTCACTCTAATCTCAGAGCAGAGATATAAACTCCAGCACACAGTCACGTGATCATGGTTTATCTGTTCGTCTCAATCTGTCTGAGATATTCTGGAGTGTTTCTAAATGATGAACACTGACTCTTGTTGTGGTAATTGTGTTGTTGGCTGTAATGTCACATGACTGATGATTGTTTTGCAGGAGCGCTGGAGGTCTCTCAGCGCAGTCCGTTTGCGTGTTGGTTCAGTTCGATGCTGTATTGTTTCGGTGGAGCCGTTCTCTCAGCGCTGATGATGGCAGACGCGCCGGTCGCACCACTGTCCAACACCACCAACCTGCTGCTCGCCTCACTCATGTGGTGAGACACACACTTATACACACACACGTGCACACACACACACACACACACACACTCGCACACTCACGCACACACGCACTCACACACTCGCACACACACGCACACACACACACTCACTCTCACTCACACACTCACGCACACACACACTCACACTCACGCACACACACACTCACACTCACACACTCGCACACGCACACTCACAGCACACACACACTCACACACACGCACACACACACACTCACTCTCACACTCACACTCACGCACACTCACGCACACACACACTCACACTCACTCACACAGGTTTGTTTTTGTGAAAAGTGGGGACTCTCCATAGGCGTAATGGTTTTTATACTGTACAGACCGTATATTCTATTGTCCTACACCAACCCTACCCCTAAACCTACCCCTCACAGGAGACTTTCTGCTATTTCAGATTTTCAATACACTCCATTCTGTGTGATTTATAAGCGTTTTGAAAAGTGGGGACATGGGGTAATGTCCTGAAAAGTCACCTTCTCCTTGTAATACCTGTCATACCTTTGTCATTATACAAGTTTATGTTCTCATTTGTCACAAAAACACACACACACTCACACTCACTGACACGCACTCACACACTCTCTCACACTCTCTCAAACACACACACACTCACTGACACGCACACACACACACACTCTCACGCACACACACACGCTCACACACACACTCACAAACTAACAATCATAATGATTATAAAGAGCAAAAACAGACAATACTGTGTCTAAAATGTAAGTCACGTAATATTAATTTCTTGTTTCTAAACTGTATAAAATCAATAGCTATCAATATATAACAGAAGACACAAAAGAAGATATTTTGAAGCCCCGGCTCTTAATGCATGGTTTTTCCTTCTGGAGCATCATCGAGCGTTTGAACCTTCTGTAATAGTTGCACACGAGTCCCTCAGTTGTCCTCATTTCGTATGATCCCTCTTATTTTGGTAAAATAATGAACATTTAGCAGATTCTGCAAGGTGTATGTAAGTTCTTTTCATCATTGACTGTTTAGTTGTTAAATGAGGCTGTTTGGAGGCTGAGAATCTGTCTTTGGGGTGTGTGTGTGTGTGTGTTTCTGAAATCTCTCACACTCATGTTGAAT